CTCCCCACTCTCCGGCTACTCCACCGCTTCCCCAGAGACAGAGACCTGGGCTAGTTCCCCGCCGGGCTTGGGAGAGGAGGTCACAGAGTTAGAGAGCACTAAGAGGGCCAAAGAAAGTGGCGTCGGGAGAAGAGGGGCTGGCAGAGGAGCGGGAGAGGGGAGAAGGGGAGACTCACGCAGGACAGCATCCAGGCCAGTCAGACAGAGCAGCCCGACCAGGGCGAAGATCACCGAGCGCGACATCGCGACCAGGACGCTCTCCGCGGTGTACTGTCAGCCCCGCCTAGCGCACCCACTTTTATTCCCTTCAGGCGGCGCCAATCAGGACCCAGCGAGCAGCGATTCGTCACCCGTCTCCGAGCACGCGAGGCTGAGCCAGGTTAGAGAAAGGGACTTCCCCGGTTTCAGTTTCCTTTTCTTGTAGTCTCCTAATAGATGGCATGGCCTGGAGTAGGTGGATTCTCTGCAAATCCGCACCCTCCTATCTGGGGTGCGCGCCCGAGCTTGAGGCACCAGGCGCTCATCCTCGAAAGTAAGGCTGGAAGCAGCTTCGTCCAGCGCCCTCGCTCTGTAAATTGGTCCTAGAGATGCTAAATGACTTGCTAACTAACGGTCACCCAGCCAGTGAACCGCCTAGCCTGCGGTTTTCATTGGAGAAAACAAGCCCAGAAAGATTAAGAGTGTGAACGGTGCCTACAGAACTAGAAATTCGCCTTATAACTACAACCCAGGAATACACTACAGGGTTTCCCGACTATCTGGGCAAGAAAACTAGTCTTAACAACCTCCGGAGGACAGCTCAGAGAACCTTCCAGAGCGAACTAGGACCTTTCTTTCTTTATGAATTCCTTCACGGAAAATTTCTTTTTGGAAGGTTCTGTGCCAAGAAATTGGTTGCTGTTGTTTGGGTAATTTGCTTTCTTCTGTTGATTTTAGGGGGAAAAAAACACAACCACTGACAGTAAATACAGTAATCTGTTTCCTTAGAGCTGTAGAGTTTCCAGAGCCCTTCAAGTCCATAATTCCCTTAGAGTTACCACTGGCACCTAGTGCATAGGAGGTACTGCTAAATTGAATGAACGAATGAGTGAATAAATGAATGAACTCTAGGAGGTAAGGACTACACTATTTTACAGATAGGGAAAACTTAAGCTAAGAGACTAGGATTCAGACTCTAGCCTGATTTCATTGGCATCCCTGCTTTAGACACCAGAAGACAAAGGACTCAGCAGTTTTAGTTAAGAGTTTGGATTGTATCAGCCATGGGCCCAGCCAAGAAAGTTAAAACCACTGACTAAAAGAGCATGACAATGGCAGGCAGATTTACAAAGAAAACTTACACCCTAAAGATATCATAAATAAGGTGCTACCATTACGTGGCCACCAAGTCCACCAACCTTTTCTGAGTGAAACAGTGAGAAGAGGAAGTGGACCACGGGTGGGGAGAGAGGAATCCGTCTTGGAAATCACCAGGGTTTTCCACTGAAGAGAGTTGCAGCGTGCTTCCCTGAGGAGCACAACACATACTTCACAGGTTTCTTTAAATATATTTATACTTATATATTTAAGAGGTCTATATAGAGGTCTTGTCTAAACTAAAGAAAATAGAATATTTTTCATACACTTAATGAGATAATAAACAGAGTCTCACACAGTGGCTAACACGTAATGCTTTATAATGTTTAATATATAATTTTTAATAAGCACTACATTGAGTTATTTACCTAGTTCTTCTACCATCTCTTTCTATAACTCTGAAATATAAGAATAATTGCTATTCATAAAGTTATAAGTTGTCACTCCTGTCTCCACCTAACCCCTTTTAAAAACTCACTTGAAGTTTGAAATGTTTGTGTTGAATTATACTATAAAATGTTAATTTTGAATTGTACTAGAAAAGTGCCATAGTAATATAGGAGGAGACAGGGCTTTTTTTGCCTCTTGTTTCTTGTTTACTATATCAAAGAAAAATACTAAATTTAAAATTCATTAAAGATGGATTCAGCTTGGTCTGGTGGCTCACCCCTGTAATCCTAGCACTCTGGCCAGGTGGGTGGATTGCTTGAGCTCAGGAGTTTGAGACCAGCCTGAGCAAGAGCAAAACCCTGTCTCTAATAAAAATAGAAAAACTAGCTGGGAATTATAGAGCATACTTACAGTCCCAGCTACTGGGAGGCTGAAGCAAGAGGATCGCTTGAGCCCAAGTTTGATGTTGCTGTGAGCTATGATGCCACAGCATGCTACCTCAGCCTCCAGGCTAGCTTGGACTACAGTGGGCAATACCACGCCAATAATTTTCCTATTTTTTGTAGAGATGAGGTCTCACTGCATTGCTCAGGCATGTCTCAAACTCCTGGCCTTAAACAATTCTCCTGTCTCTGCCTCCCAAAGTACAGGTGGCAAGCCACTGGCCGGGACTATTTTTCAGTTTTCTGTTTGTGTGTAATTACTGCATTTAACTTAACTTGACATATTTGACTAGTGAGAGTGAAAAGGAGATATAAAACTAATTTTTATAAAACAAGTTTTGCAAACAACTGTTTGCATAGGAGGGCAAATTTTAGAAATCTACAAATATGACAACTTAATAGTGTGATCTTCCAATAATGCAATTAACAGGTATGGGGTTTTTTTTTGGGGGGGGGGGTTATTTGTTTGTTCATATGACTTTTCTAAAATAATTTTTTACACTGAACATTTTTTTGAAATAGTAAATGCTGGCAAGAATTTAGAAAAACTGGAACTCTCCGATGGGAATGTAAAATGGTATAAACAATTTGGAAAACAGTTCAACAGTTTTTTTTAAAAAGTTAAATATATACCATAAGATTCAGCCACTCCACTGAAGATGTTTGCCCAAGAGAAAATGAAAGCGTATGTCTACATAAGGACTTGTATGTAAATGTTCAGAGCAGATTCATGTGTAATAATGGAAAACCAGGAACAATCCAAACATTCGTCAACAGGTGAATGTATAAATGCATTGTTGTACACATATATATCCATACAATGGAACACTATCACTCTGCCTTTTTTTAGTACAATGGAATACTATTGGCAACAAACAAGGAATAAACTATTGATATACACAACAACTAGAACGAAATAATTGTGCTGAATGAAAGAAGCCAAGAAAAAAAGAGTATATACTGTATGATTCTATTTATAGAAAATGCTAGAAAGGCAAACTAGTCTATAGGGACAGAAAGCAGATGAGTAGTTTCCAGGGAGAAAAGGGATCATGGAAGCACAAGGAAACTGTAGGGGTGATGGAGTTTGAGGATGGTTTCACAGGGGTACACATCTTTTTTTGTATGTTAATTATAACTGTTTAAAAGGACAAAGCTGGGTGCCATGGCATGTACCTGTATTCCCAGCTACATGAGAGGATTGCTTGAGCCCAGAATTTTGAATCCAGCCTGAGCAGCACATTAAAATGCCCATCTCTAAAAACCAAAAAAAAAAAAAGACACCCCCCCACACACACACACACAAAAGGACAAACCCTCTGATGGTAGTAGCTCCTGACTGTAATCCTAGCACTTTGGGAGGCCAAAGTGGGTAGATGGCTTGAACTCAGGAATTCAAGACCAGCCTGAACAAGAGTGAAACCTCACTGCTAAAAATAGAAAAACTAGCTAGGCATTTTGACCCATACCTATAGGCTCAGCTACTTGGGAGGCTGAGGCAAGAGGATTGCTTAAACCCAGAAGTTTGAGGTTGCTGTGAGCTAGGTGGACACTGCACACTCTAGTTTGGGGAACAAGAGTAAGACTATCTTAAAAAAAAAAAAAAAGAAAAAAATGCCAATTGATAGAGTATTTTGTTACACAAAAGCTGTGAGGAAGACGGATTACCTGCCAAGCAGATACTGCAACTTTCTCACCTTTTGGCCCCCATTTACTCTCCTGCAAATAAGGATAACAGTACTTACCTCATGCAGATCTTTTCAGAACTGCTGATTTAAAAAACCTTCCTCTTTGTGTTCTATTTCCTTTTGGCCTGTCGTTCTTTATGTAACAGCTCTCAAATCTGAACAATCAGCACAAATACCTCAGGTAGGAACTCATATATTAATTATTGGACTGAATTTAACTCCAGACTGGAGTCTCCTGAGGGTCTGGTGTCGTCTTCCCTTTGGATTCTTTACAATACTTAACATTTGCCACAACATTTGTTGTGAACTTAACATTTGTTTGTGGAATTTTATAGAATAAAACAAAAGACAGAGGATTTCTGGTCCCTGAAGAGCTCTAACCAGAAGGGACTTTTGGGAAGGCAACAATCTTCAAATTTCTTAAATTATACCATTTAACAATGGTTATCTCTGGGTGTAGGATTACCTGGGGTTTTAATTTTCTTCTTCATAGTTTTTGGTTAATTAGTTATGTTCTAATTTTCTATCATGATCACATATTACCTTTATGGACAGAAAAAAAATAAGTTAAAAAATAATACTACTACTCACCTTCAGCTTGGCGCCCATAGCACAGTGGTTATGGTGCCAGCCACATACACTGAAGTTGGTGGTTCGAAGCCAGCCCAGGCCAGCTAACCAACAATGACAACTACAACAAAAAATAGTCAGGCATTGTGGTGGGCGCCTATAGTCCCAGCTACTTGGGAGGCTGAGGCAAGAGAATTGCTTGAGCCCAAGAGTTTGAGGTTGCTGTGAGCTGTGATGCCACAGCACCCTGCTGAGGGCAACATGGTGAAACTCTATCTCAAAAAAAAAAAAAAAATGCTACTCACTTTGGTTCCCATGTATTTGCCTCCCCTTCCTTTCTCATATTCTATCTTTGTCCTGGTCTCAATGTCTCCCAATTACACCTTCATATCAACCCCTTCTCAGAAACTGCCCACAGTGAACTGGCATGGTAGCACATGCCTATAATCTCAGCTATTCAGGAGGTCAATTGCCAATTTTTTATACTGGGAAAATTATACAAACTTGAAGTTAAAAAATATCAAGCAGTGCAGAAGCATAAGATCTTAATTTCTCCCAAATCCTTTCCCAGTAATAACTACAATTTTAAAGTATTTTTCATCCTCAATTATAAGCCCAATAAATGAATTTACGACCATTGTAAAAATGCAAACAATTAGTGGTCTATCAGGTAAAAGTGAAAGCTCCCCTCATTTGTCCCCTTCCATCTTACTTTCCTCCCCTCAGAAACCACTGTTAAGATTGGGGCATCCATCCATAGATATATATCCATATATTGTATATAGTTTGGAAGGTAGAAATTTAAAAATTTATGTTACAAGAACTATTATTACAG